TCATGCGAGTCCACACATTCACTCACTAGGCATTTTAATTGGATGAAGTCACTTACCAATTAACCAGATTACAAAATTACATAAATGATCATTTGGGTGAATGTGTGGATCCAAGTAGTACTCAGTCACCACACCAAACCCATACACATCGCTCTTCTCCGTCAATTGATTCGTCATGTAGTACTCAGGACCCAAGTAGTCCTAATTCAAGAGATATTGTAACAGAGAAAGAGAGACATGATGATGTTTGATTCTTCACTCACCATCGTTCCTTTCACTTGTGTAGTCACATGAACTTTCTCAGGGTCTCCCACAAGTTTGGAGAGGCCGAAATCGGCAACCTTTGCAGTTAGACTGTCATCAAGTAATATGTTATTTGATTTGATGTCTCTGTGTATGATTGGATGTCTCTGTGAAGATAAGCCAGACCCTTCCCTGAACCAAGTGCTATTCTAAGCCTTCTGTTCCAATCAAGTGTAATCCCACTCTTCCCTGCGTTATCATCATCAAGTTCACCACGTACCCAATGAATATCATAATTCATGAAAAGAAGAGAGATGTTTGATGATTACCTGATAGACTGTATTGTATGTGTGTGACCGGTTCCATCATACCAGAGAACGGGCTATACTGATCGGCCTTGACAGTGTAAGGGCCAAATATCGGAGGAGGCTTATAAGAATGCGTGCTAAATGCGGAAATAACACTATCCATTCCCCTCTCATTAAAAGTCTCTTGGCCCAATGGAAAGACCAAGAGATCTATCAGAAGAAGATGATCAATTGCAGTATCTCTTATGTTTCTTACGGCCACGGAGTCCACCGGATAACTAGGATTCTTAAAGAAATGTTCTATTCTTGCTGGAGCATTATGAAATAGGTGTCGTTAGAGTACCCTGAGAAGGAAGCAGACCTGAAGGTGAGTACTCATGTGACCGGATACACACAGCGACACGCTGGACTCGGTTCCTTGCCCTGGCCGCATCGAGAACAATTTATTTGAGGGGCAGAAAATGAAGTATTGTATTGGATAACTTTGCAGTAGTCACTTGAACTATCGGCCTCCCCCTGGCACACTGGATTATTTGCCAATCTGTAGATATATCACACACATAAGTAATTGATTAAAAGAACCAAAACATTTGATTTGTGACAATGATATACATACATTACTACTTGGATGGGTTTATTAGCTGGTGGTTTATAACTATCTAAATCCACAAACTCCAACTGGTTGCTATAGTTGGAACCAAAGTCCAACGTTGCTTGTAATTGATTGCGCTTTAGGATACTGCAAGTCAAGAAAAAGCAGTAGAGATTTCATAACTCTTGAGTTCACTTCCCAATCAGAGTTTATTATTTTGGTTTTTACTCACACAGTTTGCAGTTGAATAGGGCTGAAGAGGAAGATTGGAATTGGACCTTCGAGTTGGATCCCTTCCATCCTTATGCCGAGTAGAAGACCATTTTATTCTTCGTAAGATTACACATCAATATATATATTCTAAGAGGGAAGGTTATTATATAAGAGAGAGAGAGAGGTTCACACAATGTTGACAGAGAGCCTAACGAAGAGATCCATGATGGAATGAGTGAAAAATTCAATTCGTTATTGCTCACGTCCCTGTTACAAAGCAAACACAACATGGAATAATGAAAGTTTGTAATGGTAAATTAAGCAAAATAGGAATAAGACACTTACAACGTAGAGAGATTGGCCAAGCTTGTTAAATTTGGAAGAATACCTGTAAATCTGTTGCTGGCCAAGTACTTGAAATGGATACAAATTCTTTTACCTCTTTTTCATTTATATCTACAACACACAGAACAAAAGTTTAGTTCCTCACTTACAGTTCGTTAAGACTTGTGAGATTGTTAAGACTTGAAGGAATATCTCCATTTAGTTTATTCCTATCAAGGCGCCTGTAACACATAAAAGAGACTATGAGATTTAAGATGTTGGGATAGATTTTTTTGTTTTCAAAGAATCTTTTATTACGTACAATACTTGCAACGTTTTAACAAGGCTGAGGGTATCTGGGATTTTGCCTGTTAATTGGTTTCCATCGAGTAACCTATCAGTAAAACAACAAACAATGCAATCAATTATTTAGTTAGTAATCTCTTAGCGTTCACATGTACTATGAAACTTGCACATGTATTAAAGTCATGTTCGAGCTGAAGAGTTTATCTGGGATATTGCCCGAAAGCTTCTTACCAAAATGACTGCAAGAGAAAGTGAAGGAGAGTCAGCCTAATTAGATATTAAGAAGACTGATAACATATAATAAATGGAAATATTTGGGATTATATGTACAAATGATTAGCTTCAAGAAGCAGGTCAAATCCAGGTGAAGAACTTCCATTTGAAATTGGAATTTTTCCTTCTATTTGATTATCAGCTATATCGAACCAAAATAGTTTTGATTACCGTCCAATGGAAGCCGGAATTGTTCCATTAAATTTGTTTGAATTCAGAGAGCTGTATAGAGGAAACACAAATTATTACTAAGGGCATCCGCATTGGAGACATTTTGTATGTGTCTTTAAATATAAAATTATTAAAAATTGAGTAAAAAGAAGAAAAAAAGTGTTTTTGGTTGAAATAATGAGGTGTATTGAAATACAAAATTAATAAAATTTGAGTAAAGAGATGAGATAGTGRGTATTATTRGAGAGAGGATGTCTCSGRRAAGACAAAGTTGGAGAGARAATKGATRAAARTTGGAGTGTGTTTAAATATAAAATTAATAAAAGTTGAGTAAAATGATGAAAGAGAAGGTATAAAATTGAGTAAAAGGAAGAGAGAGTGTGTTTTTAATATTTTTTTATTTAGAGACATCCACATTTGGTCTCCAATGTGGATGGTCTAATGGTTTAGAGAATACTATTGAAAATGAGACGGTTTATAGTTATAATAATAGGAAGCAAAAAAATCTTTCAAGGTTAATTATCAAAAAGAAAGAAAGAAATTTTACAAGGATATAAGTTGTTCAAGAGATCCTATTGACTCAGGGATTTGACCAGTGAAACCACATCCCATAAGGTTCCTGGAGAAAAAGAAAAAGTTAGTTGATAAGACAAGGTGGTTAAGAATGGCCGGCTCTTAATTGTTTTCTTACAAGGTAGTCAACTTCTTGAGGTCACCGATATTTGGTGGAAGCGGTCCAAACAGTTTAGGATTGGATGTCAAATCCCTACAAACATTGGATCATAAGATGAGAACAAAATGCATTTCTATGTAAAG